TTACCAAGTGTTATATAAATAATTTGAAATCATGCTAAGTAGAGATCACACATTTTAAATTTTTATTGTTTTTTATTTATGTATGTATATGTGTGTGTGTGTGTGTGCGCACATGTCATGTGTATGCAGGTGCCCACAGAGGCCAGAAGAGGGCATCAGATCTACTGGAGCTGGAGTTAGAGGCAGCAATGAGCTGCTGGACATGAGTGCTGGGAAACGAACCCAGGTCCTCTGGGAGAGAAGCAAGTGCTCTTAACCATAGAGTCATCTCTCTAGCATCTTCTTAGAAAGATCACACACCTTAGAAAATTGGTGCTATGAATGTTATGGGAGTAACCAACCACTTTCTTATAGTTTTAAGAGCTACTTCACAAGATGGAACTCATGCCTGGTACTATTAATGGGGCCAAGAAGCTGAGGCTGGCTAGGTCATATGCCTTAGGGAAGAACCTATTATTCTGCTAAATGGACATAATAAACTGCCCCATAAGTTCTTATCTTTATGCCCATAAATCAGAGCATCTCTCAACCCGCATCATAGAGCTTCTTTTTGCAGTAGATGGCAATTAACACAGAGGTAACAACTGGCCAGTGTGCAGAGAACATGAGACTGTGGCGTGCTCATTCCTAAATGGCAAATCTGTATTATAGCCCCTCCTCTCAAGGCTCAGGAATCATCTCAGAAGAGGAAGCAGAAAGACTGTAGGAGCCAGAGGTGGTGAATAATTACAGTGAAACAGTGTTTTCTGGACACAACAGGGCACACACAGCAGATGTCATGGCATGCACAGGACCTACACAAGATCAAGGCAGACAAATCCCAGTATGAATAGGGATGAATGAATGAATGAATGAATGATGAATGAATGATGGAATAAATAGCTTGTGAAGTCTCACTACTAACTGAGGAGCAATTGGCAGTTGAAGACTGCTGGGAGAGGGAGTCAGTTTTCTTCAGAGATACAGGTCCTTGAGAGGCTACCCATGCTCCTGTGGATGGCCCTATGTCCATGCACATACTGGCTCTACAAAGTGGACTTATTGAATTTTTTAAATGAACACATGAAATTGGGAAGGAATCATAGTTGGAGAGGGGCATAGGTGAGGAGCTGGAGGGGATGGATTTTGTCAAAATGTATTATATGCAAATATAAAATTCTTAAACCAAAAAAAAAAAAAAATCAGTGCTAAGTTTCCCAAACACTTGTTCTAAAGTAAAAACAATATCTACCTCACTGGACTGATTCATTTGCTTAATGGATAAAAACCACTTAAGACAGCACCTGCCACATAGTAAATGAGATCTGATTTGACTTAAACATCACTAGCACATTATTAATTCAGGCCCTGTCAGGGCTGGAGAGATGGTTCAGCAGTTAAGAGCACTGGCTCCTGTTATAGAGGACCTGGGTTTGATTCCCAGAACCACATGGTGGCTAACAGCCATCTATAACTACAGTTCCAAGGGATCTAATGCCTTCTTCTGACCTCTGAGAGCATTGCACAACACAGGTGTGCATACATATATGTATGCAAAACACTCATACACAAAAACTAAAAATATTTTTATTCATGTCCTGTGTTATTGATATTACCAGTGCAAAAAACTTAATTTATAACCAAGGAAATATTTGATTGTAAAGTGGGTTAAAGCCATTTTCAAACACCAAATAATTTAACTTTCTATCATTTAAAATAGAATTATGCAGGACTGGAGAGATAGCTCAGTGATTAAGAGCACTGACTGCTCTTGCAGAGGACCCAGGTTCCATTCCCAGCACTGACATGGTGGCTAACAACCATCCATAACTCTAGTTCCAGGGGAATTCAACTCCCTCTTCTGACCTCCATGGGTACTGCACGAAACAGGTAAACACACACATGCTGGCAATATACTCATACACATAAAATAAAAATAAAAATAATAATTAAAATATTTAAAATAGAATTATGCATACAAAGAGATCCCTGAGAAAGAAGAGGGAGGAAAGTACAATTCCTAGGTGCTGGTGAGTTACTGTTGAAAATGAGCCTCTGTTTAGCTTTGTGTTTTCTGAAAGTCAAAGCAGAAGCAAAATCGTGTGATCAGCTGGTTCACTGTTTGACAAATGGAGTGTGTGGCTCATATGGAAAGTAAAATTTTCTTCTGCAGTCAGGATCTGAGTACAGCTGCTCACAGAGGCCCTGATATATGGCATACTAGCTAAGGAATGGAGAAACCTCACCTGGGTCCAGGTGTAAGTGCGCCTACCATCCACTGGAAGTTATGTCTCCTAACAGTACTTTATCAGCAGGGACAAGTGGGCCAGTCAGCTTCTTAATATATGTGAAGTATCATGGAGCTAAACTGTCCATTCTGTTCCAAAACATGATTGGTTTTCAGATTTTATATCTGTGAAGGGCCTTTGGCTTTGCTGAGAGTATAAGTCTTGCCTTTTCTAAGTCCACATGACCTTGCCCACTGCCCTGAGCCAGGGTGACCAGAGGGGACTACAGGCAGACAGGATATGGCTTGGAGTGGGGGTGGGGAAGCTGCTTTCCAACACTTGATACTATTCAGACAACAGACTTCCTTGGGAAAACTGTAATCACCCAGCCAGGAGGAGGCCAAATGCTGGCAGGATTTATTGGCTTTGATAAATACTGTGTTTGTTTTTGTAGGTAATTAGAGTTCAGTAGCAAGCTATAAAGAGTTCTCCAAGAAATTCTACACAGGCTATAGTTAAAGGGTACTGAAATATGCCTGGGTCTAGCCATTCATCTCTGCAGACAATCTGTGCTAACCAGCCAGCATTTGACTCAACAGGTTATCAGGAAGAAAAGGCCCTCTGTGTGTTCATATACAAGAAGAAGGAACTTCATACAGCACACGTGGGCCTAAAAGCATGTGGAAACATGTTCACTGTCCATAAGCTGCTGTGAAATACTGTAATTCATGTACCCATAGCTCAAATTGTCTTAAAACATTTTGTGTAGGGGGAGGGTGGGGCCATGCATGTGCCATAGCACATACATAGAGGTCAGAGGACAACTCAGGTGTCAGCCCTTGTTTTCTACCTTGTTTGACAAAGGGTCTCCTGCTGTTCACTGCTGTGTAAGCCAGGCTAGTTTGGCTCAGGAGCTTCCAGGGATGCCCCTGTCTCTATCCCCCATCTCACCGTGTGCTGGGATTATAGACAGGCACATGGTACCACATCTGGTTTTACATGAAGTTCTAGGGATGAGAATTCAGGTCCTTGGGTTTGTGTGGCAAGTGCTTTCCCCACTGAGCCACCTCTCCAGCCCCTTCAAATCATCTTATTTAACTTGAACATTCAAAGCTCCATAACAAGTCAGATGCAAGCACCTGTGCCGCAGCTCTGTATTCTTACATCCATTATGGAGCTGATTACCAGGTACTGAGCTAGGCTGTCTGCTTCCTTGATAATCAGAAGATGCCTGTGGGGCTGGAAAGATGGCCCAGTGGTTAAGAGCACTAGCTGCTCTTGCATTCACATGGTGGCTATCTGTAACTACAGTTCCAGGGGAATCTGATGCTCTCTTCTGACCTATGCGGACATTGTATGACACAGGTGCACTTAAATACATGTAGGCAACACACTCATATACATAAAAATAATCAATAAAATCTTTTTTTTAAAAAAAAATGCCTGTCAAAGCCATGGTGATTTATGTCTTTTTTTTTTTCAGTGAATCAAACTTTAGTATAGATTTCATCAACTAGAAGGTAGTGATATAAACACAAGGGCAAAAAATAGTGAGGACAAAGTGTTGTCATCAACAATTAGGAAATAGCATCAGCATGAAGCAAGAGTACTTCACTCGAGTACTCGGCTTGCTTTGCTAGACCCTGTCCAATAAATAACATGTTTCTTGTGTTATGCATATAACATTCACATAGAATGTTTTCCCTCTCTGCACCCAAATCATGGCAACGAACAAGACCAGAGAAGCTAACTGCCAAACCTCATGCAGGAATGGGAAAGATTAAATGGGACCAGATAAACAGAACAAAACAGAAAAGCCTCAGATATGGCTAATGCTATGGGAAAACAACTGCTTTTATATCCTTTGTATACACTGGCTTTACTTTTGCAAAAGCTGGACTTAACAGTTAAGGCCTCAGGCATCTTCCTGTGTAGGTCATTAGAAACCTTTACAACAGTTTCCCCAGAACTAGATTTCCACTTAATTATGTTCTATACAATCCAATATAAATTTTCCCACTGTTCTGCACGCTCTGGTTTCCTCAATTTAAGTTTTTTTAAAGTTCCTACACAGCCGTATCATAGTTTTTCTTTCAGAGAAACATAAAACAGATACCCACTCCAGCAGAAAGGGTAAACTTTCAGTCCACAGTTGTAGAGTCAGCTGGCTATCTGCCTCTGAGACTTCCTGCAGGTGATTACAACCTTGAGCCGGCCACTCAACCCCTCTGACCCTCTGTTTCCGCCTCTGAAAGTGGAGACGGATGCCTCAGATTCTCCTGAAGGCACCTTTGGGCTCGAAGGTTTTAGAGTTATTTCATCTTAAAGGGAAGAATTTCCACATGCAAAGGCAGTTATTACTAATTTTTAAAAAAGTAAAACATTGAATTGGACATTCAGAAAACGAGGCTTTGTTTGGAAGCGATTGAAAAGAAAATAGAAAGCTAAGAGTCTAAAGAGAAATCCTGGGATTTCTGAATGGCGTATTCAGAGAACACTCAAGACCATGCTGAGCCAGGAAATGCAGGATAGCAAAGACATCCAGGCAAGTATCAGTGCTGGCTTAAAGAATAAACACTTCAAATTAACATTTCATCACTGAGAACTGGTCTGTTAGATGACCTGGTGGGATCCCTGTAGAGCTAGCTGGTTCTCTGGCTTACTAACCTGGGTCTTTTATTACAGAAATGGCCAAAGCACAGAGCTGTACTGTCCGGGAACTTCCAGAATTCAAGTGAGAAATACGTTCAGCAAAGAACATAAAGAAGCAGGAAAACGGAATCTGATACTTACTTGTGGCCCAGCTCATGAGCGATGGTAAAGGCCAAATTGAGACCATTGTCTTCGGCAAGCACACACTTCCTCTTAGCACTGCACACACCTCCTAAGTAAGCAATTCCTGCAGCAGAGACACAAAACACATCCTCTTCAGAATGGGGGAGGCCCTGACCTTTAGGGAAGTCCATACCACACGACCAATATTAGGGAAGTCCATACCACACGACCAATATCGCACACAATCTGAAAGGGGGCAAATGAGGACACTGCCATCCATAGGGCTGGACCTGAAGACCCAGAGCTCCTCTAGGACTGGCTCTTGCAGTATGCTTTGTATTTTTCCAATAATAAGGCTAGTGACCACAAACATCTATCAAGCCCATGACATGTATACTAGTTAGTTTCTGTCAATTTAACATAAACTAGAGAGACTTGAGAAGTGGGAACCTCAGTTGAGGAATTTCCTCCATTGGATTGGCCAATGGGCCTGTCTGAGGAATTTTCATGATTACTGGTTGATGTAAGAGGGTCTAGCCCACTGTGGGTAGTGCCATCCCTGGGCAGGTGGGCCTGGACTGTGTAAGAGAGGTAACTGAGCAAGCCAGGGGAACAAGCCAAAGCAGCATTGCTTTGTGGTCTCTACTCAGTTCCTACCTCCAGGTTCCTGCCCTGATTTCTCTCAGTCATCGATTATGACCTGGGAGCTGTAAGATGAAATAAACCCTTTTGCTTTTGGTCAGTGTTTTATCACAGCAACAGAAAGCAGTCTAAACAAACACATCAGGCAGCATGCTGAGCAGCTTACATACAGCATCCAATTTTATTATCATCATCCCTGAAGATAGAGGAAATAGGTAGGGAGGGGAAGGAAGACTTTCCCAAAGTCACCTGGTTTGTGTTCAGAGCTAAGAGCAATTGAGACTAGCAAAGCAAAGCACACGTTGTAGGAAATTTAAGGAGGGGATTCCTCTTGGGACCTAATCTTGTACCTACATGTCTTTGAGAACTTCCTTACACCCTGGATGCTTTTTTGCCTCACCCTAGTCCTGACCCTCAATGACAAGCACAGGGCAGGGATGTGAGCAAGAGGCAGCATACAGAGGGCAGAAGCCTTTGGTGAGTAGCAAAAGAGCCAGTCACTGAAGAAGGGCTGGGGCAGAGAGGAGGCTCTGTGGAGAAGGCTGTGGTGCGTGTGAACAGCACAGATGGCTGAGGGAAGCTAGGCCGCAGTGCTCAGCCACAAGGGTAGGAAGGCAAGCCCTACCTGCCCACTTCTGCAGGTTGGCTCCAGGTCTCCTGCTACCCACAACAGTGCTCTGTGCTTCTAGTCTCTCTGCTTCCTGGACAGCCGTCCTGTACCACCCCAACACCCCAGGACTTACAAAGGAAGGTCTCTAGGGACCTACCCTCTCCCCTTGCCACTAAGTTTCTACCCCTGTGCTGGCTGCCTTTCAAAAAGGCCTGGAAGTAGTTGAAGGAAGGGGGGGGTCAGTTGTTGCTCCTTGTAAAGTCACACAAGGGCTGTGCAGCAATAGCTGGAGATAGGAGATGGAGGCTGATGCTCTTTACTCACTGGTTCAATGCTACGCAATGGACTATGACCATCCAAGGAAGGGATGCCTGTTCCCTATCACTGTGGGCACTGTCTCCTGCCAAGATGCATGCTGCCAAATCTCAGGGCTCCTTCCACTAACTTTCCTGAAGAGCGTAAGGCAGAGAATGGGGGAGAACTGTCCAGGAGGAACTAGCTCATTAAAAATGACCTCGCCCTGCCTGCTGCATCTCAGTGTCCTTAGCGTGTGGCTATGCATTTGCTATTGATAACGATTATTTCTCCTCTTTCATAGGCGCAAGAGGGAGAGAATGTTAGCTGAGTGGTTCCACTAAGAAAAAAATCAGGAAGGGTAGTACAGCTCAGCGGGAAAATACTTACCTAGCATGTGGGAGGCCCTGGGTTTGAGCCTCAGCACCAAAAAGGAAAAGGAAAACAAATCAAACTGGCACAAAGTTCAGGCACCCACAGGCCACTCCCTCCTTCTGGGGCCCCTCCATGAGGCATAGAAGGGGCTCACATGCAGGCTGTAGGGAGATATGTAGTTCTGGGGCTACCAGGGGTATCTCATTCTACTTTCTTCATGATGAACTAGTGTACTGTGCCACGGGTCTATTTTTATCTGGAAACATGCAATGTGCTTGACCATGGTAGAAGAATTAGAAGAAGCAGCAAAGAAATAAATCAAATGCTATTTGGCCTTAAAATGCATTTTGTGCATGTGGATCTGACAAGCCAGCAATGCTGGCTATGGGCTGAAACAAAATGACTCTAGAAAGGATGCCATGTGGCTGCTTGCTGCCCTCAAGATCATTACTCTGGTTCTGTTTAAAAATGCTTTGTGGGTTGCTGCTGACAGTCCACCAGTAAGTGGAATGCCGCTACACAGCCCTGACGGTGTGTGCATGAGGCACACACATGCATGCACACAGGCTCAGAACCAAATGCTCAGACACACACTGCAGGAGCCACTAGCCTAGGCCACAGCCATTCTTGATCAATGAATCAATTAGAGACAATCAGAACGTACACGCTAAAGAAATCACGTGGTAGGGGAGAAGGGAGGCATAATATGGCCAGATGTGCTGAGCTCGCGGTCCTGAGCATGCCTGCTGTGGATTCTGTTGCTGAACCAACAGACCTTAAATGCCACACGAATACTCTGCCTTGTCAGCCTTCTACCCTCAGAGCAGGCAGAGTGAGCTCTCCACTCTAATTAGGCAGCATACAATGCTAAGGCAGCAGCAATCAAAGAATCTTCCAATAATTGCATTTTAGGTGATTGTTTTTAAAAAACTAGGAAGCAAAGGATCAGTTTATTTATAAGAATTGCTCTTGCACAAAGGTTGATTAAGGGTATCACTTTTAGTGACTGATCGTGATCCTTACCAGTCTGGTGATAAAACCCAGCAAGAGAAAACACTTAAAAGAAACCCTTGATCATAAAGCACAAGAGCTGTGTGAGTTTATGAGTAATGGTGTGAAAATGCTCAGAATGCATAAATAAAGACTGGAGAAAATCCCAGGTTGCTGTAAAAGTAAGATATTCTGGGTAAATAAATGGTATTTAGGCCATGGAATGTCAGTGGAAAACAGAGCACAAGTACTCCATATTTTGTGGAAAGAAATAGTTGTCTAAAGTGTGAGCCCTGCTTGGAGATCGTGCTATAGTTTGGATCCTAAGTCTCCCAAAGGTCAGAGAGTTAGAGTCAAGGGGTGGTATTAGTGGAGGTGGTGGAGCTTCTAGGACATAGGAACTAGTGAGAGATCTTAGGGGCATGTCCCTGAAGGGCCCAGTCCCTTCCTCCCCTTTCTTGCTCACTGGCCGTGTGGTGAGCAATTTCCTCTACTATGTGACAGCAGTCATTGCTTCCAGCACTAGTTATAGAGCCCTCAAAGCAATGGTTCTGGAGCCTCTATAATCATAAGCCAAAACAAACCTTTGCTCCATATAAGATGATTATCTCCAGGGTTGGTGACAGCTAAAGAAAGCTATTATACCTTGATCACCTCAGGCTACAGAAGGCATCAAACTGGGAAAGGCCAGCAAATTCCACAATGGTGCTTGTCAGGAAATGAGTGAAAACTAGTTTTCTCTGTATTGGTTTATGTTTTAAAAAATAAGGTCTACAACACCCATTCTGCGCACTTCAGCACTGATGCTGTGGAATGGGGGATCTTCCCCTGTAATTGCAACTCCTGTCGTCAATGGTCCTTACATCCCACAATGATGCTTTCAAATGACTTCAAGTTTCCGTGATTTAGAATTCTCCACAAACTTATCATAGCAGGACTCATTTTAAAGTATCTTAAAACAACAATTCCACATGCTTGCATAACTCCTTGGGAAAAAAGAAAGCAGAAAGTCAACTAACATTTATTAGCCATACTTCTCCATGGACAAAGCTGTCTGACCCCTCCTTGTGGGTAGATATTACTGGTCCCATTTTATGGATGGGGAAACAGAGGCTCAGTAGCCAGCTACATGACTAATCAGCACTTCTATTAGTTAGACCTTTCCTCCCCATGACAAACACCTAAGGGAGGAAGGGATTCAGTTCATGGGAGTCCAGTTCCCCTTGTCTGGGCCTATGGTGAGGCTGTGTGTCAATGGGAGAAGAGTATGGTGGAGCAAAGCTCCTCCCTTCATGGAAGCCAGAAAGCAGAGCAAAGATAGTAAGGGGCCAGGGCAACATGTCCTTCAGAGGCACACTCACAGTGACCCACCTCCTCCAACCAGGACCTGCCTTTCACAGTTCTACACCCACCAACAGCTTTGGATCTATCAATTTTAAGACCATTGCTTAGGCCAGAGCCCTAGTGATCTAGTTCTCTCTAGAAATGCCCTCACAGACACTCAGAGATGGGATTACCAATCTCCTCTTCCTTTTTCCATCTAATTAAGTAAGCAATCCAGACTAATTATCAGTGCTCAAACTAGATAGGAATGCAGGACTTTCTACCTCTAGCACCTCCACGACAACCTGGTCCTTGGCTTATCATGCTTGACTAACCAACAACAATGAATAATCTTGGACTGAGAATTCTATTTTCATAAATCTTAACCTGCGATTACGTAGAAATGTGGGTGGAACAGAGTGAACGTTTTTTCTATTTAAGTCCAAATGTTCTTAACCCTAAAGAAGATTTAGAGAAATACATGCTACAATATTAATGGTAGTTACCTCTATGACATGGTGAAAGGGTAAGAGAGAGCTTTTAAACTATTAACATTTTCTCGTTATTAAGATATCAAATGAACAGAGAGAGAGAGAGTCAGAGAGAGATCCTACTGGATTTCTACTCCAAGTGTAGTCCTCTCCAGGAAGCACACAAGGCAGGAAGTTCATAGTCAACCAAACACATAGCTGCACATATACTTAGACCCTTAACAGTGGCTTACTCTGCCTCTATGGCACCCCTGGGTATAAACAGGAGAGCAAAACACACTTCAAATCCTAAAATGCTGAGGGTAGAAACAGAGGGCAACAATTAGTTCTTATGACACCCAGGGAAGTATAACTCATTCTTCCAAAGAAGTCAACCACATCGACCAGAGCCCCTTTACC